TTTGTTTTAACACAATAATTTGTTTCCCTCTGTATTCTAACTGTTCGTCATGTGTCCTATATAATATTTCATCTCTAATTTTCTTTTTTATAAACTTCACATGGACCTCTCTAGGAAGGTTATGTCGTATCCATAGTTTGTCTGCACCCTGTATGTTTCATCCATTCCAGCAATCATCTCTTCTTTGTCAATCTCAAGAGCTCCTGCCAACAAATCCGCCATCTTGTCTGGAAGATCTTCTCCTCTTTCCTCTATAACATTTTGGAATCTAAGATATTGGGTCGCCTTCTCTGCTTCCAGTAACGTCACCATTGTCATTAACTCTTTATTAGCCACAGTTAAGTTTTTTTTCTATCTCTTCCACCTTCTTTTCTTCATTATCCAATCTTTGCTCTACTACCAGCAACTTCTGCTCATTTTTTGCAATTTGCTGCTGAAAAGCTTCAAATCTTCCATCCATTGCCTGAATTTTCTCTCTCATTTCTCCAGTAACATTCCTAACCACTTCTAGTTCCGTTTTAATTTCCTCATGGTTCTTCATCATGACTTCCTGCATTGCCTGCATCATTGCCTGTAATTCTTTAAGTGGGTTGGAACATTCTTTTTGAAGCAAGTCATCTAACGATCTTTAGCTCATGGGACTGGAACCTGGTGTTGCATTTTTCTTCCCCCCACCAATCTTAGCTAAGTTTGGATTGCTTGCCATTTTAAATAAACTTTCCCACAACTTACTCTTCTTCCAAACTATCCACTTTCACTTCCTTCTTTTCGTTCTTCCACTTTGTCCCTTTACCTTGTTTCCCTCTCAGGGGTTTAAACAACAATATCGCTGGTATATTCCATCTATGTAAATCTATCAATATAATACTAATACAAATATAGGTTCTAATAGTTCAATCTCTGATGTTAACTTTAAACTTTCCCAGCATTTCCTTTTTTCTTTGTATAATCCAATAAACCCTTCAATCTCTCTTTAATACCCTTTCGCTTATCTTCTTTCTTCTGTCCCAAACCATTCTGTTCTATACGTCCATATAATCACCTGCTATCTCCTCAACAACACTTTCCAAAGTTGTCAGTCTCTATGTCGTTCCAATTCCTCCTGTCATGCAATCTCTATCTCTTTCCGGGGAGAAGGGGAAAAAAAGGCACCTTTCCGCCGGCCAATCCACTCAGCAGTCAAAGGCAAAAGCCAAAGGCCATAAGACTCTCAGACAAGGTTCTTAGCTTAAAGTCACATAAAAGGACAGGAATCAACCTTTAGATTCCTGTCCTTTTATGTGACTTTAAAGTGCTAGGTCTTTAATCAGTGCAGCCTGGCTCCTCCATATCAGGCCCTTCCAGGTACTCTTCCTGCCACTTTCACTCGCTGCCTCCCCTGTACTCCTTCAGCTTCTCTTTTTCCAGGCTTCCCCTTTCCGCTTTCTCATTTGATGCATCTACCAAATCCGCTCACAAAGCTTTGGGAAAAGTCAATCTAGTCAAATCCAATTTACCATCGTTCCGCTATTTCCTCGCTTACTCTGTCCAGCTGTCAGCTTCAGTGGCCATTTTTGGCCATCTTCTTCCCGATCCGCTCGTCTGGGTTTATCCGCTTCCCATCACCAGTCGCCACCAACAGCAGAGCAGCAGATCGCCCATACCTTCCGTTGCCCCAAGGCTTCTTTCAGTTTGGATGAGCCCCACCGGCTTAGGACGAGCGTTTGGCGATGCCAGAGAGACCATTCGCACCGCTGCCAGCTCTGATAGCTGGCTCCACCCCCCCGGCCGCCCATTATTTCTGAATGCAAGCTGTTCCATTGTTAATTGTCCTCACTGTTAGGAAGTTTCACCTTAATTCCAGATTTCTTCTCGCTTTGGTCAGTTTCCAATCATTGTTTCGTGTCCTGTCCTCTGATGCTTTGGAGAATAGTTTGATACCCTCTTCTTTGTGGCAGCTCCTCAAATAGAGGAATACTGCTATCATATTGCCTCTGTTTCTTCTTTTCTTTAGACTAGCCAAACTCAAGTCCTGCAGCGGTTCTTCATATGTTTTGGTCTCCAGGCCTTTGATCATTTTAATTGCTCTTCTCTGAACTTTTTCCAAAGTCTCAACATCTTTTTTATAGTATAGTCACCAGAATTGGTTGCAGTATTCTAGGTGTGCTCTTTCTAGGGTTTTATAAAGCAGTATTAAAAATTCTAATACTAATATTGAGATTAACACCCAGAACTAGGCATAAGGATTTAGCTTTAGTATCAAAACTAACAAAAATTCACAAATACCTTCATATTCAGAATGCCTCCTGTTTTCTAACAAGTTGTCTTTATTTAGCCAAAAGGTTCAGGACTAAATAAACATTGTTATTTTTTTATCATTATAGCTAATTACTAGATGTTGGAAGCTTTAACTTGCGTACTATACTGCAAATCACCCAGATCTGCTACTGTATTCCATCAATGTTCTTATCCTGATCTAAAATTGCTCAGTGTTTAGAATGAGTTTAATAGTTTATCCAAGATAAGAACTACAAAGGTTTACTGCTGCTGACAACAAGATTTAAGAGTGTGGACAACACCTCTATTATCAATATAACAGAAAATCATAATAATATGTTTCATATTATATGACATGGTACTCATGTAGTATTTATTTTTGTTGCTGTGATATTCAAAAAAAGAGAAACTTTAATAGAATAAAATACTTCTTTTAATGTGTATATGTGAGATTATAGATTTCTACATATAAAAACAGAAATAAAAAGAACAACAAGAATCTCTCCAGAACACAAGCATATTCGAAACATCTGCAAAAAGTCTCAGAATTTAAGCAATATATTAAAACTTGGCAACATATAATTATGTTGATTGCCTACAGTCTTTTAATCATGTCAATTGAGAGCCATTTCAAAGGCTTTGAGAGGTTTGTCTTCAGATTGCACAAATCATCCTATTTGCATAACTGTAATGAATGTGTGGACTGCAAGTGGCATCTTCACTGCCACTAGTTATTTTATTTTATGATTATCCTTGGGTACATTGGACTCCTTTATCAATTATTTTGATAGAGTGTTTAAAATAGTCACCTTCCATCTTCCTTCCAAAATATATTGATGGTTTTAGCTGCTTTTCATGCAATATTTTGTAAATATGATCCCATATTTTCCTCATGTCATATTGTGGGAAGAATCCAGAGAAATAAACATTTGGGGAAATATTAAAAAGGTAGAATATATTTCCCCAAAGGAATAATAGAGAAGATCTTAAAAAAAAAAGACAGAAACCAACCGCAGTCCCTCTTCCCTAAGCAGAAACTAGGCAGAGGCCAGCTATTAGAAATGCAAATCCAATAATTCTTTCAGAAATGTTGGAGCCTTCCAGCTAGAAACTGAAGAGATTAGGAAGACAAAGAAAGCTAAAATCTACCTACCCCACCCAAATTCTAAGGACAGGAAACATAATAGGATTAACCCACCAATACCAAAAGGACACACTCAGACTCAGGTCAAAGAACATGACACAGGAAATATAAAGCCTCAAGCAGGAAGAACTCCAAATACAAAGCCCAAAGGAGGTATAAAATCCTGCTACATGTGGTCAGCTTTCCAAGAGCCATCTTTCTGTCTGGCTCTCCTCTCCAATTAACTACAACCTTCTTTCTAAAGCAGTCTCCATTTTGTTTATTCCCAGCTTGGACTGGACCCTGATGAAAATTTTTCTTTCAACAATATAGTCCCCCTTATTGAACTGTATTTGGTCCTGAATGTATTGTCAATGACTTCAAGCTATAAGCCCAGGGCTTTATGATCCATGATGTCCCTTTCTCATATATACACAACATAACAATTCTGGGCCTGACATATTTATATTCATTAGAATCTATTAGGCCTTGAAGCTAAAGCTTTCAATGCCTTCACTAAAACATATTCATCAGTAACCTTAAATAAAGCGTACAAAGATTTTTTTACCTATGGTAACCTGTTCACACATGTAATTCCCCAATGGTAAATGAGATATGAAGTGGTATAATCAGAGATTTATGTATTGCTCTTTGCCTTTTCATTTTCAACAAAGCATATCAGTAACATTTTTATGTGCCCAAGATTTCTGCAAAACAAATCCAGATGAGCATATGGAATGCCATGAGTAGGCATGTTATTTCTTCATGTAATCTGAAGACAAACAAATAAACTACTGCTTCATTCTGCAGTCATCTGGTGATTAACATTCCCACATTAAAAATCTCCTTCATACTACATGCCCATAGTAAATAACTTGTGCTGCTATAGGCATGCCTTGACTGGTAGCTATCATCTTTAAATATTTACCATTAAAACCTATCTAAACACTACATTACCTCAGAAAAGCATTATATGTAGCTAAGAAGTATATCTAAAAATAATACGGTTAAGACTTAACTGATTAAACTGTAAACTGACTCAGATGTTATATGGCAGTTTATCAACCACCTATATTAAAAAAATTCTTGAATTAATTGAACTGAAATCAGTTATTCTGAAATATGTGAGAATGATTTAACTTCCAATTATCCTTGCTTCATTTGTGTGCCATTCATTTTATTTCTTTCTATAGCCTAAACCTACTTTTTAGTTGTAATTAATAGTTTTACGGTGTAGAATTTTACCAAGGTGTAATAGAAAAAGAAAAAAAATCCCAAACTTTCTTCCAAAGTTGCAAATCTTGCATGTTTACAAATGCATTGTTGCTTTATAATTATTAATTGATCTACTGCAAACAAGATCACACAAAATACTTTGTATATTCTTAGGAATAAAAAGCAACTGCTGGCTTGTGGTTTCTTAAGTAAAAGGTAAAAGATTTATACACTCTGAAGGGAAAGCAAAGTATACTTTGCCTTGTGACATCTTACACAACATTTTTAGACATTTATTACAGAGGAGCTTATCTCTTTTCTCTGGAAAAGGCACTGCCGTATAATTGTGAATTTTGTTTTGTCTGTTTCCTAAACATCTATCAGAATTTAAGCACTTTAAACTGACCTTAGAATTTGCCCATAAACTAGAGATACGAATCAGCAGGATGACAGAAACCATATTTGTTTCAAATATAAGTGCAGATATAAGGATCACAGGTCTTCTGTTGTTAGCATCTGGTGATAAAAAATAGCATAAATTAGCAGATGTATATCTTAGAGATACTGTGTGCTAGAAAAGGTTCATACAAGCAGACCCATTTATATATGAATGGCTACCTACTGAAAGATTTTGTCAGCTTTGATGAATCTAAATTGCCTGCTATTTTACACCTGGCTCTTCTGCTTTAGAAATTAATGGGATGTAACAACATATTTATAAATACATATGTCCAATTACACAGTGCAAGAACTGCACTGAAATTTCACACAGTTAAGAACCAAAGCAAAGTTTGGAATGTCTGTGCTTTTAGCTTCAGCTCTTTCTCTGAAGAGTGAAATTAAATGGCTTTCAAAAAGAGCCATTTTTAACTGGGATTTAGCTCTACATTAATTTGCTGAAGGAAAAATTATAGTCTTGATGGTATTATAATTACCACATTTATTAGATCATATTCATTCAACAGAGAGTAATCTTAGGCATGCATCAACAGATCCTCTTAACTTCAGTGCAAAATGAAAAACTACCATATGTAGAATTCCATTATTTGGGCCTCTAATCCATTGTTTCCCAATTTTAATAAGTTCCAGAGTTTTGGACTTCAAATCCCTGACTTTTTCATCCCATAGAGCCATTGCTGAGAATTCTGACAACTGAAATCCTGAATCTGGAAATCTATATATATCCATATTAATATTATGTTTCAAAGTTAACACAGTAGGGATAAAATAAGGAAAAATTAAAAAAATAAAAATGACCTATGGAAATAAAATCAAGAATTTAGATGAAAAAGATAACTACAAATATCTGGGCATCCTTCAGTCTGATAACATCAAGCACGGTTAAGTCAAGAAGAAAGTTAGTGAATACATGGTAAGTGAAAATGGTAAAGTGAACACCTGTCCAGCCTAGACGAGTTCAAATCACCAGGACCAGATGGATTACACTCCAAGGTTCTTAAGGAACTGGCAGATGTGATCTCAGAACCACTGAACTATATTTTTCCAAAGATCTTGGAGCACTGGGGATATATAGTTCCCATCTTCAAAAAAGGGGGAAAAAAGGACCCAGGAAATTACAGACCTATCAGCCTGACCTCAATACCTGGGAAGATTCTGGAAAAGATGATCAAACAACAAATCAGTGAACACCTACAGGCAAACAAAATCATTACTAAAAGCCAACACGGGTTTGTCAAAAACAAATCATGCCAGACAAATCTTATTGCATTCTTTGACCAAGTGACAAAATTAGTGGACCAGAGGAATGCTGTGGATATAATTTACTTGGACTTCAGTAAGGCATTTGACAAAGTAGATCACAACCTACTATTTGAGAAGATAGAAAAATGCGGGTTAGACAGGATCACCACCAGATGGATCTGTGGCTGACTGTCCGTACTCAGTGTGTGATCCTCAATGGAACCACATCTACATGGAGGGAAGTGTGTAGTGGGGTACCCCACGGCTCTATTCTGGGCCCAGTGCTCTTCAACATCTTCATCAACAATTTAGACAAAAGGAGATAGATGGGGAACTCATCAAATTTAGAAATGACGCCAAGCTGGCAGGAATAGCCAACACTCCAGAAGATAGGCTTAAGATGCAGGAATATCTGGACAGACTTGAACATTGGGCGCTATCTAACAAAATGAAATTCAATGGCAAAAAAGTAAGGTTCTATATTTAGTCAAGAAAAACCAAATGTACAGGTATAGTATAGGGGGTACCTTGCTCAATAGCAGTAACTGTGAGAGGGATCTCGGAGTCCTAGTAGACAATCATTTAAATATGAGCCAGCAGTGTGCTGCAGCTGCCAAAAGCCAACGCAGTACTAAGCTGCATTAACAGAGGAATAGAATCAAGATCACGTGAAGTGAGTCAAGCTATTTTCCAAAGTGCCTGAAGGCAGGACAAGAAGCAACGGGTGGAAACCAACCAAAGAGAGAAGCAACCTAGAACTAAGGAGAAACCTCCTGACAGTTAGAACAATTAACCAGTGGAACAACCTGCCTCCAGAAGTGGTGAATGCGCCAACACTTTTTAGAAGAAACTGGACAGTCATTTGTCTGAAATGGTATAAGGTTTCCTGCCTGAGCAGGGGGTTGGACTAGATGACCTCCAAGGTCCCTTTCAACTTTATTATTATTATTATTATTGTTATTATTATTATTATTATTATTATTATTATTATTATTATTATTATTATTACATCAGAAGAGGGAATATCTTAAAATCTAAATTCAGTAACAAAATACTATCAAAGAAATGAATACCTGGACAATTTCAGTTATTAGATATATAGTACAGTTAGAATAGTGGACTGGACTTAAGCTGAAGTAGAAGCCATGAATATCTAAAGGGCAGCGAAGATGATGCTTTGGAAATAATACACCAAGAACTGAATATCAAAGAGAACAAATTGGCCAATAAGAAAAATCAAATGAAAAAAATAAAAAGAGACATGGCAATTACATAAAAAAAATAGCTGGGAAATCAGATAACAATAAGACTTGTCAATGGCTAAGAGCAGGCAAATTAAAGAAAGAGACAGAAGGGCTAATTCTGGCATATGAAGCCAGCATTGAGAAGACAGCAATAGACAGCAAATCCCACCTCTGCAGAGAAGAAACAATAGAACTATTTAGCTGCTGCAACAATATAACACAGATATACTACTTGGAGAGAGCAAAAATCCATCCAGTATTCCTTTCATTTCAACCAATTCACCCTTCCTTCCTTCTTTCCTTCCTTCCTCCCTCCCTCTCTCCTTCCTTCCTTCCTCCCTCCCTCCTTCCTTCCTTCCTTCCTTCCTGGCAAAGAATGTCGTAAAAAGTGTCACTTCTATCAATGTTTGTAATAGATCTTGATCCACGGCTAAAAAGTATTTCTTCATGGAGATATCCTGTTCCCAAATCTCGGCTAGTCTGTTGAGATCCGGTTGTTGTTTGCTAAAATGTCTATTAATGTTAGCAAACCTGATCTTAATGATTCATTAGAATTTCTGATTTTTGGGCCTGGAGGAGAGGATCATTTATATCCTTGGCCTTCTCATCTTCCAGCATAGATGAATTCCTTTGTACCAGAGTATCATTTGTTGTCCATACATGATTGTTGATTCATGAAGGCACATTCTTTGGCTAGATTTACTCCAGTTTCCATCGGCTTTCTTATAATCATACATTGAGGATCTAATGACCAGTAATAGGATGGCTTCAGGTTTTCATTAGAAAGAGTTAGATGAGAGTCCTGTTGGAGGAAAATAGATCTTGGCTTGGTTTTATAACCTCTTTGTAATTTTTTGTTTCTCCTATAATATACACCTAGAGCAGTGGTTCTCAACCTTTCTAATGCCGCGACCCCATAATACAGTTCCCCATGTTGTGGTGACCCCCAACCACTTATACATCACCGAGTGCCAGGGGCGTGGCCAAAGAAAAGGGGAAAAAAATGGAGGACAGCCTTGTTTGGCAACCCCCGTGAAATGGTCGTTCGACCCCAAATGGGGTCCCGACCCCCAGGTTGAGAACCACTGACCTAGAGAATATGGTAGCAAAATCAATACTAGGAACAACATACTCCAGAAATTATGTGGAACTAAATGGGGAGTTTCAGCTGCCACTCTCAGGTCATCAGCACTAGGGTTGATCTACTCCACAGTAGAATATTGTGCCCCTGTATGGTTTAATAGCTGCCATACTAATAAGTTAGATGCCAGACTCAACAACACCATGAGGATTATAAGTAGATGTACAGTATTAAAACCACATTGACTTGGTGGCTTCCTGTTCTGAGCCATATAGCACCACTAGCTTTAGGAAGACAAGGTAAGAGAATACAGAAATATTATGAACAACTCACTCCTGCTAGTGCATGCTGACCTTCCTCATTTATCAGCCAGAAAATCCAAGAAGCCTTCATTGGCACTTGCACATCTGCCCAACAACTTTAACATTCACCCCCAATGGAAAGCAAATGGGTTGCTGAACATCTAGACATAGGAAGACATATAAAGAACTCCACAAAAAATGTGCCAGACTTTGAATACCACGTCTGCAATGGACAATCCTGAATAGAATTCACATCTCACACAGCATCTGCCAGGACTCTTTATAAATGGAGCGAAGTATCCTCCCCTCAGTGTGATTGTGGGGGTCTCACAACAACTGTAGATCACATTGTGACTGGCTGTAAGCTGATGACTTATACCAGATCAGTATCTGTTTTTAAACATAAACGATACTAGGCCTCAATGATTAAATGATCTAGACAATGGTATTTGAATATAGATCTTTTTAACACTTATATTTTATTGTGATTTACTAATCTAGGTGAAATGTTAATATATATTGCTAGTCTGTGTATGATATGCCATACGCTAAATAAATAAATAAATATCCCTCCTACTCATTATGTTCTCAAGTGTTCTTCCATTTTCCTGCATTAAGCACTCTCAACTAAAAATATTTTTTTAAGATAAAACGCTTGTAATTCCACCTTTAGTTTACATTCTTTATTATTGGCATGCCTGCAGGTGTGCAGTCAAACTGCAGCTGATACTGATACTGTATGCTTCAATCAAAATTCAATTTAAAAATTACTACCCAACATTTATTAATAAATTTCAAAATTATAAAATGAAGAGCACAAAAATGTAACCTCCTGAAGTCCATTCTGTCAGATTAAACTATCTCAAAGTACTTCTTTAGTACTGGTCACACAATTTGATAGTCAGTGCACTTAGCAATAATCATTCAAGCCTATTTCTTCTTCTACTACATATACTTCTTAAATAACTTATTGCAACTTATCTTTTTCCTAACATTATCAAGCTCTCATTTCCATATAATAAAATGGGCAGAAGCATGCTCTTAGAAATAGCTGTGGTTGTTTATTTTGATAAATATTAATTTATCACAATAACCACAAATTATCTATATCTTTTCTTCCAGAATTTTCATATCTCTCCATTTTTTATCTTTAGTAAATATTCTACTGATATACATATTCATCTACTT